TTCGTCAATCGTATTTTACTTTACCGACTATCAATCTCCCCCTACGAGTGACGAACATTAAAATAAACTATTCTCATCATCTTTATATAAATCTAATATATTAACATTCCTTACAATTCTATTACATATAATTCGTCTTATATCTAGATTAACTCTTATTATTCTACTACATTCCTGTATCTCTCAGATTAATTTTGCTTAATGTTCAGAAAAGTTTTTCTCGAATGACAGCTTTGGTTAAAAAATCGGCAATCATACGCTTAGTATCTATATACGCTTAGTATCTATATGTCTAACATCAAGCTCTCCTTTCTCTATTTCATCTCGTACAAAATGGAATTTTAAATTGACGTGCCGAGTTTTACTTTACGAGCGATTACTTCCTATCCATTCTATTGCCGCTTTATTATCGCAAAATAGAATTATCGGTCTACAGTAAAATACCTGGAGACTCAGTTCGGTTAAAACATTCTTAACCCAATTAACATCTTTTACTACTTCGGAGCATGCGAACAATTCAGTGACACATGTCGAGAGACCAACGGTTTTTTGTTTATTCGAACGCCACATAATTATAGAATCGCCAATTAATATTGCTCCCCCTGAAAACGACTTTCCTCCTTCTCCGTTTCCCCAGCTCGCATCCGCATACGCCGTCAAAACGCCCTGATTCGTACTATAAAAGAGTGTTTTATTTTTCGTACCACATAGATATCGCAGTACTTTTTTGACTAATGTAAGGTGTCTCTTTTCAAGTCGACTATTATATTGTGACAAATATGACACTGCAAAAGCAATATCTGGCCTAGTTCGACCCGCTATATACAGGGTGTTACCTGTAACGCTACTCACGATTTTTCCCCCACTTGCAGCCACCTTACGAAAAAAAGTTTAGAATAAAATTTGCAGGGTATGAAGTGCACAATAGATATAAGTAAAGCAAATTTTGAAAACAGTTTGTTCTCTTGGCAAAGTCAAGGTCACCTTGGGTTTCTTAAATAGGAACATACATTTTTTTTTATTCATAGCTTTAGAGGACATCGAGACGAATTCGAAACATATATTACATTATATTTTTATTAACATATTACTCG